TATAGTCGAAATACATGGTTTTGTGCATCTGATGTAAAACAATAGGTCAAATTGTCGGAAGCACTACGCACTTAAAAGAACTCAATCAAGTTCATCCAGACAGATTAGTGTAGTATAAAAATGGCCAGTGCAAAGAGAAACTTGATGATAGAAAAATATTGGGAAGTATGTAGCCGTATTTTATGGGTTGTTATTATTAAACTGCCACTCATATTAAGCTCCAGGTGTTTTGGGAAAACAACCTTGGTACTAGATGCAATTCAAGCTCACATAAATGTGCTTAATTTGTTGGCAGGCTGTTATGAGTGACAGACACACACAGGTTACATGGCATATCCAGAGGTGGCGGGAGAATGGAGTCTGTTTCTGTGCAACATGGTAGCAACATCTCCAGTTTTCTCCTTTTGCTCTAGGCATTGTGTTGTTGCTCTCTGCACATGATTGTACAATGCACATCTCCTTGGTTGTTGTTTCAATCTGGCATCTCAATAGACACAACAGGTACAACGCATTTGGCTGGGTATTCATGTACCACTGGTTTGCGTTGTGGTTCGATAGAAGCCTCTTCCCGTGGTGGTCTTGAGAAAATACTTTCAGAAAATTTACAAGAAATGTTTCCATACTCCTGTAGAAAGGGACACATCCCAAGTAGAAAGTCACAAAAGTCCTTTCGAATTCCAAACCACCCTGTGAAAAATGAATCATGGAGACAAGATTATCATTCAAGCATAATATGATTATTTATGCTAAATATGGTTGTCAAATTATATTACATGCTGCCATTAATTTCCCCTTCTTTGTTTCTTTTATTTACCTGCTGTCTATCTAGAATTGTACGAGGAGCAAATAAGAAAACCAACTGGCCAGTTAATTTTGCTTTCCAGCTTGAACTTAAATTTCACTACAGTGTGAATTTCATAAGTCTGTGTACCATCTCAAGATTGTAAAATTAATGATAAACTCAATAACGATTCATTAATAGCTGAGATTCTCACAGAAAAAAAAAAATAGAAAATAATATTAATAATAATTCTTTATCAGTTTAGCAAGACAATTTTTTTTCCTTGCACAAAACATTTGTGCGATGAGTACAATATGTATATTATGTGTTCAACATTATATAAACTTACAATGGTTCCCTCCTTTGTGATAGAAGGATGTAGCCAGTAAACTTAACAAAGATATCTGAAGAGGAGCTACAACTCCTACAAACATGTCCTGTGTGATGCCATCCAGTCTGTTACAAAGGATTATCTGAAACAGAAAATAATATTTAAATTATAATAACAAAAACTGTTGAACTCTCTGTGAACAAAATTGTGTGTCTGTTTGTTGGAGGTCCTGAATATCAAATGTTAAATAAATACGTTGTACATCCCTGATTGCATAACTGCTAGAAAGTCACCACCTTATGCACATCACCATGCATGAAACTCCTGTAGTGAATTTTCTCATGTCATGAACTTAATTTTTTTAAAGTTTGTTGAAAGAGATTTTCGTCATTAGGTGACAGTACCACAAATCTATTAATTAATTGTCTTAACTGTTGTCTAAACAATTTACAGCTGCCAATATTCTATTTTACAGTTATTATAGTATTATAAAACTTTCAGTCACCTGAAATGTTAAAAGTGGAATAACAAGGAGAACTGATGCTACGGCAACCATGACATGACCTCTACGTTGAGCTGGAAGAACCTCTGCCGTCCTTACAAATATTATGGACCATATAACATAATACAGCACCAGAAGACACAACAAGGATAGTACTATCCACATGGGAACAAACACAACCTGCAAGAAGGAATTTTATTCAATATTATTAAGCCTGGTTCTCATATCCTGCCGACCTACCTGCGACATAGTCGCCGGTTGCAAGTGACAACGTTCGGCGATCTGTCCCAGTGGGTCCCCGGCACATCTGCGATGGATCGCTGACTTACTCAAATTTGCTCGAAATGCAAATCGAATTGTGCAATTTTTGACCATTTCACCTGTAAATATGGATCGAATGGTCTCACTGGAGTACGTTGCGTACGCAGATGATGTTCACATAAAATATTTTCATCGCCGACAACCACCAACAACCGCCGACAACCGCTGGCTTGCCTGCGAAGTTGAACTCAGCTCAACTTCGCAGCAAAGTGGGCGGTCAATGCCTGGGATAGATTATGATTCGGCGATAAATGTTCACATATGCCGTAACGGTGTCCCAGGTATGTCAGCGGCACATGAGAACCAGGCTTTACCCTTACTGGCCCACTTACTTTGATCTTATTTCATAAAATGTCCATACCAAACCATCGATTGTCACTGAAATCTCTGAGAGGGTGGGGCCCTAGAAAGCCAACTATTTTTAAAGAAAAGTTTTCATTTAAGCCGCAATATACAATGAAGCAGCATGGGGGCTCAAACCCCCAGAAAACAACCCACAGAATAGGGGGAGTTGTGGATATTTTCTGGAAAAACACATTACAAAACAACCAGAAGCTGGTACACTGTATCTAGGGTAAAATCCACCCACAAGACATGTGGGATACAATATTATTTTGTCNATACTCTGTCGTAATTTTGAAACGAATGGCCAACCATAAACAACAAGTTATTGAACAAGGTTGGCTTTGACAGGAGAGCCAACAATCAAATCTCCTGTCCAAGCACTCATGTTATTTCACCGAGACAGTCCAGGACAAATTATGACTGTCCTTCAGAGAGCCCGCCATATCATGATACAAGTATAAAGATGGCTGTATGGTACATATATATGGGATAGATAACAATCAGTACAACCCTTAAGTTCAGTTATCAAAAACAATAAACATACATGTACAGCTCTTGCATACTCAGCTACAAGTAATTAGAACTAAAGTAGTGAGGATTATAAATCAGTTTTCATGAACCTAATATTGTTAGCCATCCAAAAATTTACAAAATAAATCATTTTCAAGAAGAGGAGGACAATTGCACCAAATGATACTCAACAAGCCTGTTGTTTAGGTTGTTAATTCAATAAGAAAATTTAATTTCTATTAAGAGATCTGAAATTTTGAAATATTATTGAAGAATTTGGGAATAAATAAAAAATAAAATTGTTATGACATTGAGACATTGGTTTCCAACATGAAGGAACGAGAATACTAATCACAATATCAAGAAGTTAGTTTTTTTGTTTGGAAATAATATTATGTATCATTAGGAAATGCCAAATAAATCACCTCTTAAAGACTCAATTATTCATGCGATTACAATAACAAAATACGTCACAAAAATGTTTCCCACAAACACAAATCAAAGGTCTGGGGTAATTCAAACAAAACAACAAGTTGTCACTCGAGTTTGAAAACTCAGCCAGTCAACACCACAGTGTCCAATGGGCTAATGAACGACCTCGATAAACACCACGCTTCAAAAAGCAATGAGCCCCGAATGTTTACAAATTGGAATCTGTAAACTTGGCAAATTCGAACAAACAACATCCGAGTCATTCTTGAAAACAGGAAGTGCAGCCACATATGCCTCCACCTATTTTACGGTGGCACGTGTTAAAACAACGTAAAAAATATCAGATGAACACGTTTTGCTATACACTCATAGCAATAGAGCAAACACAACGGTCGTAGATCATGTTATAAGGGTAACTCTTTCGGATAACTTTATGTGAAAGGGGGAGCAAATCACCCAAGGAGACGTGGTCTTCCTAGAAACTTTCACTTTCCAGGCCGTGGTTCAAAACAAAACATTATATTATTTCAAATCCCTTTTCTAATTTCAGAAATACTCGCCAATTTCCACCATAAACGCGTTGCTACGTTGGCCTGTTTGGGTAAAAGTTATCACGCAGCATTTTTAAACCACAGGAAACTGTTTCAATTTCGGGGCATGCCCAGAAGAGACTCCCAGACGGATCAAAACAACAACTTCAAATTGACCCGATTGTGACTGCCGTCTGTGTTGGTCCTTCACGGAAGACAGTGACAGCAAAATAGTTGTGATGCTAAATCAAAAACTTACTATTTCGCTGAATCGTTGAGTTGATATTCTCTGGCTCTCCTGAAACACTGAATTATACCTCCGTCTTGCCACAACCGCTTCATGGCTCCTGTTAACTCGGGCGTGAACGGCTCTTGGTCATCCGCCCTGGCTACCACATCGAAAACCATCTTCGCATCCGTCTAAAATTGTAAAACCAATATTCACAACAATTGCACGGTTCACTAATCCTTCGACTATCGTCCCAGTCGAATATATGAAATAAGATAACTGATAAACAAAGAAAAGTCGAGGCAAAATTACAATGATCATACCAGTCTTTCGTCTGTTTCGAAGTCTATTCGTAGCTTGTCCATGGCTCGAATGATTTTTAGAAGAGAGTAGATCGCATTGCTAAAAACAAGGGGCTTATATTGATTGTAATCCTCTGCAGTGAAACCACGGTCATGAATGATTCTGAAACAGGAAAAGCAAAGACCAAACATACCATGAACACATTAGCTTTTGCCTTGTAAACAGAGCGGGTAACCAAGTTGTAAACAAGCCTATAAAGAGTCGCCCAATTTGTACCCACCTCATTTGCTTTACTATGGTGCTTTTCCCAGATTCTCCTGCCCCTGTGACAAATACGACAACGATCAGGTTGATTCTCGGAGAGAAAATAATTATTCACAAATATCTGCAAAGTCATCGATGCCGGCAAAATCGGCCTGTAAGGTCCACGCCTCCAGAGTTCGTAGAGTCAGCTTACTTGCACAAATTGCTCAGTCCGTACGCTCAATGTTCGACATAAATTTCATGCTCAAGTGAGAATAAATAATATCGAAACTACCAGTCAAAGTCATAGCACGAAGAAATAAAAATCCGTCCTTGCAAAAACAAAACAGTCCCAATAAAAACACAAATAGACGTACGAATACTGAGCTAAGTTCAACCCTACCTAGCAGCAACAACTTGACTTCTCTTTCCGCACGGACGCTGTCCGCTTTTAAGTTTTTGTCGATGGCTTTGCTCCGTGCAAGGGCTGCCCTATCTTCTGCACTTAGAGTGCAACCCATTCTGGAGGAAGGCCTCGACTCCTAGGTCTTTTACCTCCAAATAATGAACGAATTCTGAGAATCTATCTGCTAGCCATCGGCATTATATACGAGAATCGATCAAATGAACGAGTCTCGTCTAGGCCCGCGATCGCCGTCGCCGTTCGAGAGGGTGGAACATTTTTGTATCTAATTAGGGTAGGGTGGGTAGATCAGTTGTTCATCCTAAACATACGTTGAAAGAACTTAAAATTTTCAGCAAAACAAGGCATAAATGTATAGGTTTAACCCTTTTTCGTTGTTTTTCGTAAAAACCATACATGAAATCATTTCTTTTGACAAATTAGTGTTAAGTAATAATTATAAACTGCTACCTCCCGGACGGGTCAAATTTGTTCCTGAAAAAATTTTGTCTCTTCTGTTTAATCCAATCAGAGGCCAAGGCAAACAATCTGCTGATCTGTAAAAATAACGTAGATATGTCGTGTAGTGCAACATGACATAAATTCTATAATTAACTCGTCAACACACAGAATAGGTAAAAATAGCATTGCGCGTTGCCAAATTGAAAAAAACAAAATGTGAGGGACTGAAAGATATCGCCTGGTTTGCGCATATATCATGCAAATATGTGTTAATTAGTTCCGCATTACTGTGGTAACTTGACGTCTAGAGCGAAACAAGGGATCACGCCACAACAAGTGACTTTTGTTTTACGTATTTGAATTAAAAGAGAATCTGGATTGGGGTGACTGGCAAACTTTCAAACCCAGGCCCTTGCCTCAATAATTTTGTCGTTGTTGTTGCTGTTGTTGTTGTTGTTGTTGTTGTTGTTGTTTATAGTCATTATCAACACCTTAGGAAGAGAATTTAACAATGGACATTGCCTCAGTCATAATTTTCGTCTGGCTACGGCCCTGTTAACGGTTAAATTTTCGGCGTTTTCTTAACTAAAAATTTATCAAATTTCCGCCCATCTCAGGCTCAGCTATATATCAGTAAAGTTTACAGATCTCGGATTAACCTGCGATAAATCGTTCTTTCTTTTCTTTTTATTTATTAAAAACACGAGGGGTTTGGGAGAATTCGAGACAGTTATGACTGCGACTCGGATTTGCATAACTTTCGAGAATTCTCCCAATCATCAAACGCCCGAGTGTTTAGATGAAGCTATATAAACACGGAAAAAGTACTCTATTGCTTTATAAATTATTTCTCACAAATACGCACGAATATAAAACGTCACAACCGTGTTAACATATTTTTATCTAAAACACACCTATCGACCAATGAGTGCGTGCTTGGTAGCTCAGTTATTTTATAAAAAAAATTTCGGCGAACTTCCTATAAAAGTGCTTTATTGCCTTGCAATAGAAGGAAAATAATCGCCCAAAAGTGGTGAAAGCAAAGTAGCTAAAAAGATTAAAGAAGAGTAAAAGATTCAAGATTTCACCAGAATGGCAATTTTGATTCCTTGGTAAATTTGATCCTAGCTAAATCAAATCTAATGCAATTATAACTGTAAATTAAACCTCCTCCGTCCACGCCTTTCACAAACTATTAGCTCTATTTTGCTCTGTGAACTATTTTTGCGCACGTTATTTGTCTACTTGGTGACATAACGACAGCAGGAATCCATCCTGCTCTCTCTGGGTGCCTGAATATGGGATTGAACGGAAGACCATCCGACGGTATAACAGCTGGGCCACTGTACTGAAAACGAGCAACAAGTCACCGTCACAACGTGCTTGTTGCTCTAGGAAATGCACCGAGACTTTTTTCATTTTCAGGCTTAGAAACCATGTATAAAGACAGTTTTTACTCGTTTGAAAAGTTTGCATTTCGGGCGCCCAATTTGATAGGGCGTACGAGTGTGCCCTCAGTGCTAGAGGACAGTGCTTTATTTTATGCTACTTAATTAACGAGTAAATACAAATTATACTCTCGTATCTTAAACCCTATTTACACCGTTGGTTGCAAAACAAACTCCTTTGTCCATTTGGCGTGATTCCCTAGCCGGAAGATGGCAAAACAAGATTGCTTTATAACTGTTGCTGACATTTCTAAAGGTCAGTTGGCAAAACACGGACAGACACATTTCTTTGCCTATTTCCAAAACAACCGGCTCCTGCAGGCTTCGTCCACACACTGTTTTCTTCGCTTAATGAAGTTGTTTACGATTGATTAAAAGCCGATGGTTTCATTATTAGTCATCTAACCTTTGGTAGTACTCTCTGGAATTCTGGCTGCTTTTGGCAATGAGCCTATGATTGAACAGACACTGCAGGAGAGCCCGTTCTAAAGAAGACCGTGACAGTAGACATTAACTTTGTGGCTCGGCAAAACAACTTCAGTAGGTTTGCGGGAAATAACGGAAACTAGTTTCCTGTGGTAAAGTTGGAGACTGATTCCAAGACTTACAAGACAGCTGAATAGTATTTTACTCGTAGACTGTATTCTCAGGAATATTGGCAGCAATTCCAGTGGAATTTTAGCATGGAGAGCGCGAAAGGTACAAGGACGGGACTGTTTGAAGTAAAACAGTGAACGTCTGCAACAGTTATGTTTTATTTGTACTGTTTCTTTCTAATTTACTGATTTACATATTGTTATCCACAAAGTTGTGTTATCACTTCAAATATGCTGAAGTATTACAGACAATGACTATAAGTTTAATAACAGATAATCTATGTCTAGTTAGAGGGTGACTCGGTTTTACGACAGGACCCTATGCCATACTTTAAAAGAATCGAACCTGATCTAATTGCTGGATTAACTGCGTATATTCGACAGGTTTGTATTAACTGATGCACGTTTTAAACAGTACATTTTCCCGGTTGCAAAATGAAAAAAAAGCTCTTGATTCAATTCATTTTGTTATATAATAGAAATGGGAGAATTTTTAACCATTTATCTCTTTCCGCGCTGTATGTTTTGAACACCCTCCTTGAATTAATAAACTTCTCTAGCTCACCACATTTGCAGAAGCCTCATTAATAAAACAGCCTGTAACCTTGAACCTCCTCGTGTGTTCAGAACCGGCTTGCTTATACATCGTTGATGGCTTCTCGCGAAATGAACTCGGCTGCAGTTCGGCGAACTCTCTACCTCGCCCGTGAAAGAACATCACCAACAGATATGTAGCAATTTACTTGTAAAAAAGGCAGCCGATGGTTAGCAAATCTTCGCGTATTCGTTTACCTTCCAATTCCTTGTAGTTACTTCGTCAAGATCTCAATTTTTCATAGCTGACCGGAGGGAGCCTCTAGTCAACAGAGGATTAAAATAACAAAAAGTTCAAATCAAACTTTTGATTAATACCGAGTAGCATTTTCAGTGATTCTAACTAGCATGATTCTGATCAACTTATAATTTCAGCAAGACAATATCTCCTGATGTTGTTCTGTAATACAATATTTCAATAAAACCATCATGGAATAAAGAAAAGACGCCCAACTAGAAATATCAAAGAGTATTTTATTCCTTTTTAGAACTTTGCCATCTCATCTGTGTGTTGATGGAGATATAAATTTAATATTCGGATGATTTCGGTCTGCACCAACTGCTGCAGTAAAGTATTCTCTCAAGTTTTGGTCGGATACAGTTTTAGATATCATTCGATTCAGTTTGAAGTTCGCAATATTTAGAGACGTTTTATGATAGCAGTAGGGATCTTATCAAAATGTAACCTTCGTTGCTCTAAATCGCCAGTAGCGGAGAAGCTTGGTGAGCCTCCCGTCAGCTTAATTCCTATCAGAATCGATATCAGAGCTTCCAAATGCATATGTGTACGAAATCGTCGAGTCTCCATTCATCTCTTTTAAATTCTTCTGTATCTGCCATGGAGCCTGTTTGACTATCAGTGCATGAGTATTCATAGTGTGTGTCCTATCACCAAACAATGCATGCGTATAATATAAATGATAGGTATAAACGGTACATTTTCAGTTTTCTATCAACATTATTGTTTTTAAGGCCATTTCTCTTTTGAAAACTGGTTTGCTTGCACGGGCCGAAGCACTCAGAAAAAAACCCCAAGAAATTTATTTCTTCTTGATTGAAATAGTGACGTCCTTGCTAGAGGGAACTATGCTGAAGACTGAGGTCTTGGTTTTTTCCCACCTAATTTATAGCAACAGTTTAAGACTGGCTCCAAAGTTAATAGAGGGGAATGGTTATGAAATCCGACAAAGTTCTTTGTTGTATGTTTTTGTTCGCTTTTTTGGCCTTGACCGTGCACAAAATACAGTAGTTGATTAGTACTGACTGAGGAACTGACCAATAGAAACGATTTCGTTTCGTAATTCATGTATACTGTAAAGATTGAGATTGTAAAGATTGTGCACGGTCGGGGACCTTCCGACACAAATCTTGGCATCTTTGTTTGCTCCTTTGACGTTTGCCAGGCTTCATAACCACTCCCCTCTGTTAACTATGCTGGCACTCAGACGACGTCTGGCTGGCACTGAAACTACAGGAGCTTTAAAACAGATAAGAGACGAACTTTAAAACACAGCGACAATAAACCATTTTACATTTGTCTGTTCAGTAACCTGGGGCCCGTTTCTTTAAAGCCCCGGAAACTTTCGGGCCCGTAAAGCCATTTTTGGTTCATCTGTATCTAAAAACAGAGAAGTGTATGCACCTGAAACTTCTTGTATGAAGGGAACCTCTGTTCATATTAAGAATATGTGAATGAAACAGCTTTGTAATCATAAGCTTGGAGATTTTGCTGTGGCTTTCCGGCTGCGAAAACTTTTCGGAACCTTCGAGAAACGGCCTTTGAATGGCAGCGAGGCTGAAGGTGACCTTGTTTTGATACAGACCTCGTTGCTTTTGTTGTGTAAGTCAAGTTGTTCTTGTGCTAACTAGTTGGCATTTAAGCAGAGAAGTCTGTATCAAAGGAAGGTCACCTCCAGCCTCGCTTGCATTTAGTGGCCAGGTAACTAAGCACGCAACTGTAAATGGCCCATCTACATGACAAATGTTAGAAGCTTCGAACGGTAACTATACGGCACTTGTTGCTTTTGAGTCTTTTACAGAATGTCTTAGTCGTTCACGGTTTGCGGTGAACGTGAGTCAGTGCCAAAGAAATCAGTCACAAAAACAACTGCACCAGTGAGGATCCAATAAAGCAA